TCGAAGACCTTAGCTTTAATGCATCGATGTTGCATTTAAGCGTACAACATAAGGCGTTACATGCGAGGCTCCACCTTAACCCGTTTTACCGTCTCCAGATTTCTCACCATAAAGCATAAGTTTCTTGACCTCACCGAAAAGTTCAGTCCCTCAGATTGGCGAAAGATTCCTTATTGTGCTAGTTAAGCGGATACAGAAGAAGGATTTGATCCCTACTTAGGTGTTGAGCGTATTTGCATGCATGTAGCAACTCCGTCGGGGACCTTTACGACATTACCGAAGTCATAAACCGTCAAAAATGTCGAACAAACTGATTGATTCTCCTTCAAAAGTACCGCATGGCAAATTGATATTCATCTAAGCTAAAGTTTAGAATCCCAATGCACGACATTGGTTTCCACAAAGACAATGTACCCAAAGTAGATTTGCCGGAGAGTCGTACAAATTTTTTTTTTGCCTCGAGTAGACGAGCACTTCCAACTAAGCTTCAAACCATGCTTGAAGTTGACTCAGACATTAAAGAACAGCAAAGTCAGTCACATTTAATTCACTTGGTAGACAAATTACTCGATGAATGCAAACTGTATGGAAGACTTCGTAGCTCTATTCACAAACCTGTCTCAAGACAAAGGCAAGCTTCACTCAGTGAATCAGATCAAGACATTTCCAGTCCCTTCGGTGGCTCTGCTTCAGCAAAAGGAGTCTTGCAAGGCAAATGTAGTTGTGAAGCACCATGGCCTATATTTATATGAACAAATGCGGTCCGGGAGGGATGGAGAGGTCGAAGGGATGGAGCATTAAACATGTTCGTTGGATATACTGGAAAGATCATCATCTCGAGGCTGCGACGCCTGCATTGTTGGACTGAGACCCTGCAGCAGGTGTTCCGGTATATTCTCTCCGGTCCCTATAAAGAACTTGAGCATTTCAATGGGGATGGGGAAGACAATGGTAGATTTCTTGCCCAGACTGATGGTGTTGAGAGTCTGAAGATAGCGCAATTGTACAGCTATAGGATGCTGACTGATCTCCAGTGCGGCAAACTTGAGCGCCGAGGAGGCACGCATCTCGCCTTCGGCAGCTATCACTTTTGCCGTAGCCTCACGAGCTGCCTCTGCTTCAGCCGCCATTGCGCGCTGCAGTTGTATAGGCAAGCGGACATCCTTGATCTCCACCCTCTCCACTTTCACACCCCAGGCCTCTGTGACGGAGTCAAGGCACTCCTAAGCACAAGAAATCAGCATATAAACAACTTACTACAGCAGCATCAGCTCGTGCGACTGTTTACTTATTTTCCAGTCTATACACTTAATATTTGATGAAAAAGTGCTGCAAAAGCCTTTCCAAACAAAATTGCAACCAAATGTTACAGCATTTGATCAAAAGGTCAAGAAAGCAGCAAAATGAAGTTAAAAAAATGTTTCAACGCCAAACTATTTGCCCTTTGACAACTTCTGACAACTCATTGTTTAGAGAGGAGCTTAGAAATGTGAATGTTTGATACAAAAAATTACCAAACACAAAAGCACCAGCTTTTTCTTTGCATTTTTAAAAGCAACTGCATTTTTTTTATCCTCAATTCATTTGACTGGCGCCTACAAAGCAATCTGAACACAACAAACTATGACAACTCATGACAGCGGATGATTGGACACTCATAGTGATTTCGCATTCTCATTTTTACCTTTTAAGTGTTTGGGACTTTGAGAGGTACGTCGAGGTGCTGAGACATGACTGCGATGCATCGCAGATGCGCACAATGACATTTTGGCAGCATTTTCGACCGTATGCTCGGCAACGCTAAGCCACTCAACATGATAACCATTTTTGCCTAAATTTTTAGAACAAAGAAGCAGTTTATTGCCTAGCAACCATGCGAAAGCAACCGCTGACAAGCACTTGAAACCTGTCACCGTCAAACAGTGTAGGTGTCAAAAGAGAGGGGTCTTGGTAAGCTCCAGTGCAGACCTCATTAGAAAGGCAATTAACCACTAACTGAGGTGTTGAATGCATCACATTCAGTCACACTTTCTGTGATTCATTTCCTTTGTGTTCGGTCCACTTCTGTTTCCCATGCTGATGGCGAGAAGTAAGACACGAGGCAGCTGCAATAACTCCTACAACCCACTTGTTCGAACTAGTAACTGCACAAGTTTGAAGGCCGAGCTGACGATTTATTTCTCCTTCCCTGACGCGGTGAAGCATGTATGCAGAGTCACGAATACTGTTAAATTATTATTTTTTTTTTCGGTCAGAGGCTACGATCCAACAACATGAGCCGCCACTGTGTATACATGAAAAAGTTTAGTTAAATCTCAAGGCAAAAATGGGGCGCAGTTTACAAAACCTGAAAGTAAATCGTAATGTCGCAATAAAGGGTCCACTTCAACCTGTTATTATTGTCAACAAGACGCCAAATGAGTGGAGTTGGGCGGGCCTGTGGAAAAAAACGGTACCACAGTAATGATTTGGGGGAGGTGATAATTTGGCCCCTGAAATTTTAAGATGAAGTGGAAGTTTCGTCTGTTCTCGGTAAAATTGGAGGGCAAATTATATCGTACAGTGGGGATGAATAGGAGGGAGGACCACCAAATCGGTCATCAAGTTCCTCATTCACTCCAGTTGATCCACCAAAAAAAAATATTTTTTGCTACAGGGAGGAAAAGGAGGGGATTGGGAGAGTCGGAGTCCCTTCTGTTGGTACACAATGGAAGACATAATCGTGACACTTTTGACAGAAAATTGATCAAATTCATTAAAATGTGAAAAAGCTCAAATAGGGCCTCATTTATCACCACCAATCTATGCTTATGCGATTTCTTTGAAGTTAAATCTTCCCACAGCTTCAAGTTGCAGTGGAACGCATTCAGCGAGTGGCAATTCGTACACATTTTAACATTCTGATGATCAAATTTAAAGGTGGAGAGTCAACGTTAGCACGCCAAGGCCTTCG